GGGGGGGGCTATTGGGTGAGAGCAGGGTGGAGGAGGAGTCTGGGAGTCTGGACTCCTGGGTTCCCCCCACCCCCACCGGCACTGGCTCTGCATCTGCTCCTGGGGGTGGCTGTGGGGCTCACTCTCCCCATTCCCCACAGCCCCCCTGCCCCAGGGCCTGGAGCTGCCCACCGTGGTGGGCATCGTCTTCTCAGCTTTCGTCATCGGCATCTCTCTCACTGGGGGGCTCTGGCTCATTCACTCCAGGACAGGTAGGAGGGGCTGTCGGTCAAGGTGGGGGTCAGGAGATGGATGGTGCCCCCATTGATCCAGTTGCCGCCCATACCTCCCCCCCCCCATGCCAGTGGTTCCTTCCTAGCCAATACATTTGGGGGGTGGGAGTGGGCTTGTCATGTGTCACATGCATGTGTGTGTGGTGGGGGGAAACCAGGGGACTCCACGGGAACTCTTCTCTGTACCCTGGAGTCTAAAGCTACCAGCATCCCCAGAGCCCCAGGGAAAAGCCCTCTTAACTCTGGGAGGGGACTGGGGGGGAATCTTGGAGCCAGAACTCCTGGGTTCTGTCCCAGCTCTGGGTGGGGAGTGGCATCTAGTAGGTTAGAGCAGGGAGTGGCTGCGAGCCAGGACTCCTGTGGGGCTAATGGTTAGAGCAGGCTGAGAGTCAGGATGTTGAAGGGTTACTGATTCCTAGCCCCCATCCCGGCACTCTGCCATCCCCAGCCCTTTCTCCTAATCTCTGACAGCCCCAGTCCTGGCCCACCCCCAGGCGCTTGGTCTGTCTTGTGACAAGTTCCACAGAGAGCCTACGGGACTCCCTGCCATGAGGTCTAAGGATTTAGCTAGCGTCAAATAAAACTGGCTGTCTATAGCTAAGGAGTGGGGTGGCAAAGGCAGGGTGGGATGAATCCAGGCAGCAGATGACACTCGAGGATGGGAGAGGCAGCGGATTCAGTCTTGACAGGGGGGATAATCCTTGTTCCTTGCTATGAGCCCGTGGAACTCCTTGCCACAAGGGCTCTGTGGAGCTGGGAGTTTAGCAGGGTTCAGAGGGGGATTTGATGGTTCTACTGTGAATGAGAACAATCCAGGGACACCAGCGTGGCTGCCAGGCATACCCCTGCGCACGGTTATGGGAGCAAGGGAGAGGGTTGGGAGCAGGGGACGCACAGCGGGCAGGGTTGGGGGGAGGGGACGCACTGGGACAGAGCAGGGGGGCAGGGCATGGGACTCACTGGGACAGAGCAGGCACTAGGGACTGAAAAGTGAACTCTGAAGCTCAACGCCCCTCTGGGGCTGCCAGTGGAGGAAGGTGGTACCGCAAGTGTGGAGATGGGGCCCCAGCCCGGCGTGGGTGGAATTCCCTGCTGCAGGGCGGGACATTGAGCCGTGTGGGATGAATTGGGCTGTGGTGTGTGGTGGAGCATGTGGGGGAGGGGATGGGAGCATGGGGTGGATGGGGGCAGGGCCGGCTCTGGCTTTTTTGCCACCCCAGGCAAAAAAGCCTCCCGCCGCCCCCCGCTCCCTGGCGGGGAGCACGGTAGGGGAGAGCGCCGAGCCCGGCCGCGGCCCCGCTCTCCCCAGCCGGCCGGAGCGCCGGGGGGAGGGCGGCGAGCCCCCCGCGGCTCCACTCTCCCCGGCGGCCGGAGCGCCGGCAGGAGGGCAGCGAGCCCGGCCGGGGCCCCGCTCTCCCCGACTGGCTGGAGCGCTGGGAGGAGGGCGGAGAGCCTGGCCATGGCCCCGGATGGGGGGTCCCCACTGACCCATCTATCTGTCTCCCTCTGGCAGCTCACAGGGGCCTCCCTGACCATGCTCTCAGGGATACGCTGGCACCGGCCCCACCGTCACCACCTGCAGGCGCCCAGCCCTGCGGCTCCCGGGATCAGCAGCCCATCGGACTCTGCTCATCACAGCCAGGGAGGCGACTTGGGGAAGGGCCTCTCCACCTGGCCCGAAGGGTCCCCTCCCTGTGACCGGCGGGCGGCAGGCCTTGCCCAGGCATCGGGGCTGCAGCACCAGCTGGTTCTTTGCCGGCTGCGGCGCGTGTTTGCGCTTTGTGGGTATAAATGTGACCGCGGAGGATGTACCGGCGCTGCCCGTGTGTTATTGCTCGCGGCGTCGCTGCTGCCAGGGGCCGGGACGCAGGCTGCTTTCCCCTCATGTCCTTTAATTCTCCGCCGGCAGCCAGGGGAGGGTTACAGCGACGGGCTGAGGAGCCATCTCTGCTTACTGGGGCACAGGACAGATCTCAGCTCACATCTCTCCCCTGCATCTGGGTCGGGGGGGTGCAGCCCACAGCTCACCCCTCCCTCTGCCCCAGCCCAGCCCAGCCCCCCGGGGAGATGCTCATGCAGGGAGCCAGATGCAGAGAAGCCCCAGGGCGACCAGGCTGGTGCTCCCCCCTCACCCCAACAGGCCCCCTGACTGTCCCACTGTGCCCACCTTCAGCCATGGGAGGACCCACGGTCTGGCTGGCAAGAGGGGCCCACACGAAGGACGGGCAGCTGAGTCCTCCTGCCGGCTGCCGGCTCCATCACATGGTGGTTGCAGGTCCCAGCAGCACCTTACAGGCGAGGGGGGACGGGGCGCGATGGCAGCTTGGGGGATGATCCAGGACCCCCCTCAACTCTGGGGTTTCTCCTCTGGCCTCCACAGCTCCCCCTGCAGGCCGGGTGGCCCGGGCCCCACCTGCCCGGCCCCTAGCGGAGGGCGCCCAGCACCTGGCTGCCCCCGGGGCTATGGAAGAGCCCGTGGGTCTCCTGGTGGCGCCGCAGGTCCACCTTGCGCTGGAAGCCCTTGGGGCACAGGGAGCAGGCAAAGGGCTTGTGCCCTGAGTGCTTGCGGCTGTGGGTGATGAGGTTGGAGCTCTGGCTGAAGGCTTTGCCGCACACCTGGCATTTGTGAGGCTTCTCACCTGCGGGAAGGGGGGGAGAGGTTAGGGGTGGGGGCTGCAGGAGGGGCTGGGATCCCTCAGGGCTCATCAGAGAGCCCCAGAACTCACCCAGAGTCCTGCAGGACTGGAAGGACTCTAGAGTAGCAGGGCCCCCACCTATCTGGCCGGCCATGGGCCTAGGGCCCCCAACTACCCAGACAGCCACGGGCCCAGGCCCCCCACCTACCCGGCCGGCCATGGGCCCAGCGCAGCCTGGATCCTGCTTGCGCTGCAGTATGGTCATGGAGTCGATGCTTGCAGCCCTGTGACCCCCTGCACCTGCCATTCCCTGATCAGGCCACCAGATGGTGATGTTGCTCCATGGAGTTGCGCGGGGCCGGGCCGGGAGGCTGGAGCAGGCGCGAGGGACTAGTTTGTCCAGGGCAGGATACGGAGGCACGTGCACCAAATGTCCCGCTGTTCAGGCAGGCTGCAGATCCCGGCCCGCAGCCGCAGCTCCTGCTGTCCCGGCCCTGGGCTCCCCCCAGCTCTGCTGGTGGCCCCCAAGTCCCACCTGCAGCCCCTGCTGTCCAAGCCCTGACCCCCAGCTTGCCCGGTGCCCCCAATCCCGACCCGCAGCCCCTGCTGTCCTGGCCCTGACCCCCAGCTTGCCTGGGCCCCCTCAATCCAGACTCGCAGCCCCTGCTGTCCCGGCCCTGGGCTCCCCCCACAGCTTGCCTGGGGCCCCTCAATCCTGACTCGCAGTCCCTGCTGTCCTGGCCCTGGGCTCCCCCCACAGCTCTGCAGTGCCCCCCAATCCTGACCTGCAGTCTCTTGCTGTCCCAGCTGTGCCCTCTCCCCCCAAATCTCTGCCAATGCCCCTGTCCTGGGGGTTGGGGGAGTCGGAGCCGGCTGCCCCTCACCTGTGTGGATGAAGGTGTGTTTCTTCATGTCAGATTTCTGGTGGAAGCGTTTCCCGCAGAAGGGGCAGGGGAAGGGGCGCGTGTCCGAGTGGATGAGCAGGTGTGTGGAGAGCGTGGACGAGCGCTTGAACTGCTTCCCGCAGATCCGGCAGGGGAAGTGCCTCACCTGCAGGGAGACCCATCAGCCGGGGTTTGGGGGGGGGAGGAGGGGATGACCTGCAGAAACCCTGGCCTTCTCCAGTGGCCTCCCCAATATAGCCCTGCCTTTTCACCCCAACCCCATGGCACGTTGCCAGGCCCCCCCAATGTTAGCCCCATGGCTGCCCCCTGCCCAAATGGATGCCCATCCAGCCCCCCAAACCCCTCACTGCTGCAAAAGATACACTTCTAAACCCCCATCACGTTCCACACCCCTCCTCCCTCCAGGCCTCACCAACCTCTGGCTTCCCTTTGCCCGGGCATGGAGGGGCAGGCTGGTGCTGCAGGCCGCCTGGATGTCCACACATCCGCCATGGGGCCATGTGGCTGCAGAGCGTTGAGCATTTCAGGTGGCTGCCTAGGTGCTGGGCTGCAGGGAGGCCCTGCGGGTGGGGAGAGAAATGGGCTTAACATGGGGAGCCTGCCCCAAATGTATGGGCTGGAATTGGTGGTGGACATGTAGGGCGGGGCTGAGACCTCCCCAAACTCATCACAGCAGTGACTGAACCCACCCTTTGGTGCCTGGACATTTGCTGGGGCCAGCCTGTGTAACCTGCCTTTGTTCTACAGCCACCCTCTCGTGACACTGACCCGGAACCCTCACAATTACCCGCCCCACGCCCACAAGCCGACACTGGGGAAAGGAGCTGGCCGGACAGCCCTTGGCAGGGACGGGGCTCGGGACCAGGTAGCTACCAGCCCCTCCACCCAAGCAGGGCGAGTTTCCACTACACAGCATGGCAGCACCTAGCGCCCCCTACTGGGACAGGGCCCCCAACACTGAGCCCTGTACAGACTGCGACATGCCCTGGTCACACCCTAAACAGACACAGGGTGGAAGGGTAAACTGAGGCACAGAGCGGGAGGGGAAGAACTCACCCAAGCAGATCAGTGAACCCTGGTCCCCAAGTCCCAGTCTGGTGTTTTGTCCACTAGGCCACGCTGCCACTTGTGCCTGCCCCAGAGACCCCATCCCAGCTGTCCCCTCTGCCTACAGACCCCTAGCAGCCTGTGGGGTGGGTCAGTGCGGCCACTACAATGCCAGGGGGCCGGGAAATGGCGCTGGGATGATACAGATGCACTGAAAAAGGGGCTCAGACCTGCCCCAAACTCATGACACTCATGGGGGCCACCACAGAGCCAGCAGCTGGGCTCAGCTCACAGCCCTGAGCCAACCCCCTGAGTGCGAGCAGGGCTTTGGCTGTCGGACTCAGTGGGGTCGGAGCTGGCCCTGCAGGGGTGAAAGGCTTGTGCTGCATTTGCTCTGATGGGGCCACAGCTGGGGCCTCACCCCCCCCCCCTCCAGGTGCATCATTGAGCCAAGAGTGCTGGGTATCGGGCCCCCAATGGGTCGATCCTGCGCCCCCAGTGATAGTGCCCCATAGGCTGGGCGATACTGCACACAGAGGGCAGAAGCGGCTGGGCAGGTAGGTAAATGCACCCCAGGGCAGCGCCAGAGCCTGGCATATGGGGCAGTGCAGCCCCACACTGGGAAGCACCAGGCTGGGTATGGGGAGAGGGCTTCACTCAGCTCTGTTTAAAGGTGGGGGCTGGGAACGGGACACGGGGGCCTTTCCTCTCTAGGGGGCGCCAGCTCCCATCTTGCCCCAGGGTGGGACTAGCTGGCTCAGGGGGCAGGGAATGGAACATGGGGCCTTTCCCCTCTAGGGGGCGGTGGATCTGATTCCGCCCGAGCTGGAAGTGGCAGGCAGTGGTGCCCACGTGAAGTGAGGTGGGAAGGGTTCTCCAGCCAGTTCCCAGGGGCAGGAGCCTCCAAACAGCCCCATTGCTGACAGCCCTGAGGGGAGGCCAAGCGCTGGAGGGGGATGGAGCTCCCAGAGCTCGATCACGCAGGGAGGCCTCAGCTCCCAGGGTCAGCAGGGCGAGGGGCTCAGCCCAGTCCCTTGTGGGGTGGGGGGGCGTTACCTTGTCACAGCAGCTGCACCTGTGTGGTGGCTTGGAGAAGAGCAGGAGAGATCCCAGGAGGCCTGAGGTCCCCTCAGCATCCCTGCCCAGCTCCCTCCCGGAGCCCAGCGCCGGCGGCAGGACACTCTGCACCAGCTGCTGCAGCTCAGGGCTACGGTAGCTGCTCCAGAAGGGCTTGAACGACACGTCTGGGGGGCTGCTCACGCCTATGGGGAAACAGCAAGTGGGGGACTGGGATATGGGGCCTTTCCCCTCCAGGGGGCGCCGGCTCCGGCTGGCTCAGGGGGCCAGTGGTTGGGACATGGGGCCTTTCCCCTCCGTGGGGCGTCGGCTCTGATCTGATCTGGCCTGGCCCCAGGGACTGGCTGGCTCAGAGGGTGGGGAATGGGACACAGGTAGTTGCCATTGTGTAAGATGAGGTTGGTGGGTCTCAGTCCAGTTTCCAGTGGGGCAGGTGCCCCCATCACAGAACTGGCCACCTGCCTGCCACTGCCCCCCAGGGGCATAACATAAGAACATAAGAACATAAGAAAGGCCGTACCGGGTCAGACCAAAGGTCCATCTAGCCCAGTATCCTGTCTACCGACAGTGGCCAATGCCAGGTGCCCCAGAGGGAGTGAACCTAACAGGCAATGATCAAGTGATCTCTCTCCTGCCATCCATCTCCATCCTCTGACAAACAGAGGCTAGGGACACCATTCCTTACCCGTCCTGGGTAATAGCCATTAATGGACTTAACCACCATGAATTTATCCAGTTCTCTTTTAAACTCTGTTATAGTCCTAGCCTTCACAACCTCCTCAGGTAAGGAGTTCCACAAGTTGACTGTGCGCTGCGTGAAGAAGAACTTCCTTTTATTTGTTTTAAACCTTAGCTGCCTATTAAATTTTCTATTTGG